CAGGGCAGGGTAGCAGCCCTCAGCCTCCCTGGACATGTGTCCTCACCTGCACGGTGCACCTGGTGCCAACTCACGAGGCTCTGTGAGGAGCAAGGCCGGAGCTCAGCTGGGGGTGGTGGGGAGCGGTGGTGGGAAGGACTGCAGAGAGGGCTGGCACCCGGAAGAGCTCTCGCGCTGGCTGCCACCGCCCTGAGCACCCCCTTTGGTGCTCCCTGGAGTATTCACCCTGTCCAGCAAGTTCACTTACTTTTAGGGGAAGAGGTATCTGTCCACAGCTTCCTTTGGGGGAAAGCTGTACCCTGTGCTCCTCCTAAGCAGGCTTCAAGGGCAAAGCCTGCACAGCTCCTGCAGGCCAGTGGATTGATGCCCCCTCAGGAGAAAGGTGGGCTCTGCTGGTGCGGTGTCAGACAGGGGGTTGGTAAATACTAACCAACCTGAGGTGCAGCACTTCTAAATACCATACCCCCGAGGGGTTCTTATTACTGGCTTTTGTTTAGTAATTCAAAAACTGACACCAAAACACTCTTATGCCTAAAGGCAGATACTACCTAGCATGAACTTCTTATGCAAATCTCCCTACAAACCCTTCCTCAGCTCAGCTGAGGGCTGCAGCTGCTTCAGAAGACAGATTCTGCCCAGCCACCCCCTAGGGCTGTTGGAGTGTCCTTGACCCCGTGGCCTTTCCCCTGGAAACAGGGACAGAGGCTGTGTAGATGTCCCTGCTCCTCACTTGGGCCAAGGCGAGCAATTTAAGCCACAGAAGAGCCCCCCCAAGGCAGGCACATGGAGAAACTCCTCCTGTGCACCCGTCTTAGGTGGCTCAGAAGTTACTTCCCTCAGATCCTCTTCCATGCTCCAGTGCACAGGGACTGGCTGCACCCAGGCGCCATCGCCCAGGACTGGAGGAGGTGCCTGGCAGGTGGGCAGCAGCACCCAAGCCTCTCCCTTCCAGTGGTGACAGCAGAATGACATCTCCGGGCATTGCCAAGTGACCACCCCGGGGCTAACTCAGGGCAGGCTGAGAAAACCTGAGAACCTCACTGAAGCAACAGCCCTGTGTCTTCAGGCACAGAGGAGGTGAAGCCGCTGCCCCCTACAGATGCGGTTCTTGAGCAAGGGCACTTCGCAGGGAAGTGCTCTCCCCATCTAGACCAGGAGTGCTCCAGAGGGGCTTCTGCAACCGGTGCATCCTGGGCAGCGTGCAGAAGCCAGAAGAAGCCACGAGATGGCACAGTCACTCGGTGGCAGACACGTGCCCCAAAGTGAGGCCCTCAGAGGAGCGACAGGTGGGCAGCAGGGTGCAGAAGGAAGAATCGAGGAAGGCGCTTGCAGGAACCGGGTGAGCAGGAAGTGGGCAGAGGAAGTGGGAAACAGCTATGACCAGGCCCCTTGAGTCCTTTGTCCAACAAGGAATAGAACCGCGAATGGAAAGGAGGTTAAAGGGGAAGCGTTTGTTAGAAGTATAAGAAGACACGTAGCTGCTGTGGGGTGTAGGGAGGGTCCCAGAAAGTAGGGAACGGGAGTGCTTTCTTTATCCTGGTCCTGTGTAGATAAGTAGAGAGCAGAGCTTGTTTGGTTATGGAAGGATCGCCTGTCACAGGTAGCTCAGTGGGTTTAGAATAACTAGCTGGAGCCCAGGCTTCATGGCGTCTAAAGCAAATCAGTTTCCAGCAGGCCAAGTTCAAGGGAAACGTTTACTCTGTGTTTCTAAGTTCCAGCAGGTGCAACTCGGACAATGAGGAAGTGTCAACTAAGTTAGCACACCCAGCCTTGCATCAGCTCTCCTCTTTGCTTTGTGGTTCAGAGTGTAGCTAGCTGCGTGCTCACAGTAACCCGTACCTGGGTGTACATGCTGTTTCTTTGCATCATGCTGCCTCTCTCGTGCCCTTTCACAGAAGCACTGTGGGCATTCCTCAAGAGGTTGGCAATGGCCGCCCACCATTGTGGCTTAGAGGAGCCAAGACTGAGCTAGAAACTGAAAGGTCCAGTAGATACCAGAAGTCTGGGCAGGGGGTCCAGGAGAAAGGTGCTGAAGGCCGAACACCCTGGCCCAGATGGCAGGGGACTGCAAGCATCACCCCTCGGATTTGCACAGGAGCCCTCGGATGCCTGTGCTGGCCCCAGGGTAAGGGAAGGTGGGAGGGCAGAGGTGAGTGACTGTGTGCGCCTGTGGTGTCACCCAGAACTTCAGCAGCCGCCTCACTCCAGGGCTGCTAGCATCCTGCAGGAGGGTGGAGCCCCACAAGCACGGCTCTGCCTGTGTCCCAGGGGCTGTCACCCCTCGAGCTGTGACTGAAGGCCTCCCCTGCACAGGTGAGTCATACACCTGCAGCCTTCCTGCCAGGGAAGCTGCTCTACCCTCCGAGCCAGCCTGGCCATCTTACAGGCTGGAGCTCCGTTCCGCACGGAGGGGTGCTCTGCACACCACAGGCGCCTTTCTCTCCCACTGACGACCCTGCTGGTCACACAGCTCATGGGATCCCCAAACCGGTCCCTGAGAGACTGCACGTACTCGTTTAGCCTGCCATGACATTAAGGGTGGGGCTCCCCATCTCCCTCTTCTTTGCCTGTGTGCAGACACAACTGTACTGCCCTGGGGGCCAGTGAGACACATCTCAGGACTAGCATCAGGCGTTTATCAGAGCTGATGGTGCGGACAGAGAAGGGACGTGGGCGGCGAGGTGCTGCCTCCTAGCTGCTGGTGTCCAGGCTGCCCAGGCTCATGGACACGCCACCATCGCTTCCTCTGTCCCACGGGGGTGCCCAGGCACACACCTGAGGGCTGCTCACACCCCTACCTCGGGTGGACAAGGAGTGTGACACCATCACCACCCTCTGGCCAGGAGAGGAAGGCCTGTCCCCCACATGGGACCTGGGAAGGCCAGAGCCCAGCCTGTGCAGCCCTCGTGCATCTCTCATTTACACAGGCGTGGCGGCCAACCGACCAAAGCCAGCACGTTGAATGGCATTGCCCCAGCATTCCCGGGTCTTCAGCCCCATCTCTGAGAGTGGAGAGGGACAAACTACACCCCATTTTGTAGGGCTCCCACCCCAGCTTCCCTGGGTCCCACTCAGGACCATCCTGAGACCCAGGCAGAGCAGAGTCCAGGAGGCCAACAGAATGGAACTTCTCCCCGGCTTGAGACCCCATCCCTGGCACCCAGGGCCCTCAGTCTCCTGTCCAGATGGCCTGAGCCTCGAGGCAGAGCCCACAGGTGTCCTGTGGCTTGTGTGGGACCACTGGGATGAGGCCCGCCCACCAGGCCTCCTCTGTACCTCCTCAGCCGAAAGAGGCCTAATCCTGGGGTGAGTGAACAGAGCTTGGACACACAGGCTGGAGCCTCTCCTGGGGCAGTGTAGACCCTGAGTAGGGAGAAAAAGGGGCCAGGGACTCTTCAGGCCCCCAGGTGCTAGGGCAGGTCTGTCCCATGTGAGTTAGCTTTCCATCTCTGTTGCAGAGGACCCTGGGATGACACTTTTAGGAAAGGCTTCTTCGACTCATGGTTTCAGAGGTTTCAGTCCATGGTCAGCTGGTGCCACTGTTTCCAGCCTGCATCAAGGAAGAAACTTGGCAGAAGGGTGTGGCAGAGGGAAGCTGCTTAATTCATGGCAGTCAGGAAGGAGAGGAGAAACAGAGAGGCCAGGGACAGATCTGTTCTACGGTTCTCCCCATCTCCAGCTAGGCCCACCTCCTAGTTTCCACCACCTCCCAAGAACGCCATATAATGATATCTCCATCAGTGGATGATTCATTGATGAGATTCAGTCTCTCCGAACTGCTGCCCTGGGACAGAGCCATCAACATGTCAGCCTTTGGGGCCATGTCAGACCCAAAGACTAACCTGTAGCCCCAGCTCCGAAGCTGGAATGAAATTTCTGTGGGGAGAAAAGGTGTTGACTTAATGCAAAAGGGAGCTTTGTGCTTCAGTTCTTTTCCATGAAGAGAAACATGCCCTCCCTGTATTTCCGAAGCCTTGCCCATGCCACGCCCTGACTGAGTGCCCACAGGGAGGCCTCGGCCCACGCACTGCCTCTGAAGAGGCCACCCACCCACCTTCCCTCTCGGGGACCCAACAGCTGCCTCCCCTGCCCAGCTCCTGCCCTGCCTGGGAGCCTGGAGCTTCAGCTCTCATCCCAGCCTGGGCCATCCCTAGAGCCTGTGCACCAGTGACCGTGGGCCTATCCCTCATGTGGCCAGGTGCTGGGCAGTGCTGGGAAGTCTGGAGACAGGCGCTCGTGAGTGGCCCCTCTTTCTCCTCTCCCCTCAGCTGCTCCTGCTTCTTTGCTGCATCTAGCCTGCTTGTCACCTGTCCCTGTCTCCTCCCAGCCCATGTGGGTCTGACCTGCTGGCTCCTGAGAGGACACAGTGGGACCTAGCAGTACCCAGCAGCCTCACTGCTGTGCAGAGGCTGTGGGAGAGGCAGGACCTGACCTCTGCCAGCCACCCGAGGGCACAGCCTGGAAGATGGCAGCAGCCACAGGGCTGCAGCCAAGAGCAGCCTGACCCTGGGGGGAATCAGGCCTGGTGAACAAAGGTAGAATTGCCCTGCAGGCCAGAAAGGTACCCAGGGCATGGGGCTGGACATGAGTCACCTTGCCCGACCCGGGCCCTGCTTTCTCCCATTTGTGCCTGCCTACTGGCCTGCTCACTGCTTTCTGCAGACCCCAGCCTGGCTGCATACCCTTCCTAGAGCTCGGCTGGCAGCCCTGTGCATAGCAGCGCTGTGACCACTTGTGCGTCTGTCCCTCCTCCAGGGACTTGGTGCCAGGACCATCTTGGTCATGGTGCCTGCGCCTGGCATCCAGGAGGCTTCAGTGAAGAGTGGTGCAGGTGTGATGGGGCCAGCAGACCATGAGTTAGGGCACGGGCAGTCCGTACCAGCAGCTGGCAGAGGCTGTTGGCACAGAGCTCTGGGGAGAAGAGGGTGGCAGGGCAAGGGGGCCGCCACCAGACAGCAAATGTTCGGCACCCTGATCCCTTTTTCCCTCCTTGCTCCTAGTACTTCTGCCTGCTGTTCGTCATCTTCCTCGTGGAGCTGGTGGCAGGGGTCCTGGCCCATGTATACTACCAGAGGGTGAGTGGGAGGCGGCGAGGCCGAGGCAGACATGCAGGCGGCCCTGATGTGAGGGCTGACAGTGCTCGGCATCTGGATCCATCTTCCCGACACGTCTGTGGTGCTGAGGTGTCCACGAGGAAGTTGGGGAGGGACATTCCCTCAGCGTCAGGGCCACCCTTGTCCCTCCTGAGGAGGCACAGAGGACAAAGCTCCCGAGAGAGGCTTGGGCAAGGGAGAAATGCCAGGCAGAAAAGAGGCTCAGCCTTTCTGCCTGGGTTGGACGAGGAGGAAGTGACTGGCTGGGGTCCCTCCTATCCCAGGGGTTTCTGGGTCGTGGGCAGGGTGACACTGGCTGGTGGGGCAATACAACTGCAGGGACCAGTATCCTTCTGGTGTCCACAGGGCCACCATGTCATTAACAGCATCCCCTCATAATCAGTGCAAATCCGAAGCTTATAGAAAGCAGCCTGTGCCCAGCCCCAGCCCATGCAACCTGAGCTGTCCCTGTGCCTCCTCAGGACACTAAGGGCCCTGCTATCCTGGCAGCCATGTGGGGGAGGCTTTGGAGCCCACCGTCCCCGTGCAGGGGCAGGGGTCCCACTTTTGCTCTCCCTCTGCAGCTGAGTGAGGAACTGAAGCAGCACCTGAACCGCACTTTGGCAGAGAGCTATGGGCAGCCCAAGGCCATGGAGATCACGGCCTCAGTGGATCGTCTGCAGCAGGACGTAAGCCTCCCGAGCGCAGTTCACATCCTGACTCTGTCTCTCCCCTCCCCCTGTGTCACTCTGGGCAAGTTCCTGCCCTTCTCTGAGCTTTCGCTGCATCCCTAACATGAGCTTCTCAGAGACGTAAGGTCAAGGTGTCTCAGGTGTCCCCGGTCACCACGGACATCCTCCCAGAGCCTGGTGCCCTTGCTTCACCGTCCTCTGCCGTCATGTCCACCATGGCCCCAGCGACCTCCTCCAACTCTCCTGCGGCCGATCCGTTCTGGCACCAGAGCAGGAAGCTGGCCTTGCTGGAAGAGTCCGTCTCAGCTTCTGGCTGTGGCTGCCTTCCTCTCTTCAGGAAGTGGGATCCAAGGCCCAGAGGGACAGCAGGGCAGGCAGCCAGAGGTCAGAGACGTGACCACCTTGGCCAGAGTGCTGAGGGACAGCACACAACTCTTCTTTCCAAAGCAGCCAAGCAGACCGCTCCAGTGAGTCCCACAGTCCCGGCCTCTTGAAGGAGACAGGCCATGCTGTCCATGTGGATGTCCACACCCAAAGTTAGATAAAGTACAGATTTCAGTCCCTGTCACTCTGGACGCAGTTCACGCACTGTGGAACCACATGTGGCCACCACAGATCAAGGACATTTCCTGCCTCGGAGAAAGTTCTGCTGGACAGCGTGCTCTAGAGCCCTGCAGTGCATGTGGGGAAATTCCAGTAGCTTTGGGTCCCTGCCTGCTGCCCCAGCCCACCTCACCTGGAGCAGGGAAGCTGCAAGTGGGGAAGGAGGAGGAGGTCAGTGAGTCCTAGACTCCCTGCTCCCAGGGGACATCAGGAGGGTCCCCTCACAGGAAGCAGGCCAGGCAGGGCACAGGGGAGCCCCACCCAAGGGCCCACCCAGAGGTGTACGGTGAGAACTGAGCCAGACAACACATGGGAGAGACCCTGTCGGGGGGACCTAACTCAGGAAGGGATGCCGACTCAGTGCTGGGCTGGAGCCCCACTGAGGAGAGGTAGGTGCGGGTGTGTGCACAAAGGACACAGCTGGCCGAAAGGCGCTGCAGGGACAGTCAGCACCTGGCCTGCATCTCGGACAGGAAGGGACACATGCTGAGAAAGCAGCAGCTTCCCAGCCCTGTGGGGTGCCGCAGTTAGGTCCATGACACATGGACACGCACAGCAGGCAGGCTGGGGTGCTGGGTGGCCCTTTGTGATGCTTCTCATGTCGCTCTGCAGTCCTCACAGCAGCCGTGAGGGGAGCTTCCTGTCCTTGTTTCACCAGTGGCCCAATAAGATGCTTCCTGAGCAGCCTGCTGCTCCTTGCCCTGCCTGTGCGCTCCTGTTCACTCCGCCTCTGTGCCTGGGACCCTGTTCCTGCCACAGCAGCTTTCTGGCCCTTCCTCCTCTGCACCACACATGGGCTCTGTCCCCTCTCCTCCTACACATCAGTAGAGCTGACCCGTGCCCGCTCCTGTTTGAGCCCCATCCCCTCACGCCAGCACACACTAGATCCTTGGCTGTGTGCAGACTCCGACCTCAAAGCCTCTGTATGCAGGGCCAGAAGCGGCCAAGTCCACGCTGAGCTGGCGTCTGTCAGCTGGTACTTCCCCACCCTGGGGCTGCAGATGCTCATGCCAGCCCCTGGGCCCCATGCTGATCTGCCCACGGCTGGGTGCTAGGACACTCCCAGTGCCCCTGCAGTCTGGGAGCTTCAGGCATCAATGCCCATTTGGACACCCAGGATCTCAGGCAAGGCTGGGCCCCTGTTGCCCGGTTCTGCCTCCTGGCCAACATCCAGGAGACCTCCCTTGCATGCGTCTGCCCCTGCCTGGGGCCCAGGCTCTGCCACCAGCCCCTATGTGAGCCCTCCCCAGCCTAGGCCTCTTGTCTGGTCTCCCCAAAGGACTTGGGTGACTCTTTGAGGCTGCGAGTCGGTGCCCCAGCCTGTGGACCAGACACTCACCACAGAGAAGGCAGAATCCAGGAGAACATTTGGGAACAGGCTGAATACTGTGGCCAGTGGCCTGGGAGGGACACGCCAGGCCTCACTACAGCTGCCTCCTCCCCTCCAGTTCAAGTGCTGTGGCAGCAACAGCTCAGCGGACTGGCAGCACAGTGCCTACGTGCGCTCACGGGAGGCCCAGGGTCGCCGGGTGCCAGACAGCTGCTGCAAGACAGTGGTGGCGCACTGTGGCCAGCGGGTGCACCCCTCCAACATCTACAAGGTGGAGGTGAGTGCTGAGCTCCCATGGGCCGGGGCAGGTGGGCAGGGTGGGAAGCCCAGGGCCTCAGTCCTCTCTTCAGATCAGTGACACCACAGCATCCTGGGGTCCCCAGGGAGCCTGGGAGCAGTTCAGAGGCCAGGTGGGGCCGGCCCTTTCATCCCACCTCCCGGTCCTCTTGCTGCCCTCCTCACCCCGCTGGCCAAGGCACCCTGACTACGCTCTCTTCCAGGGAGGCTGCGTAACCAAGCTGGAGCAGTTCCTGGCTGACCATCTGCTGGTCACAGGGGCAGTGGGCATCGGGGTGGCCTGCCTGCAGGTGAGTCTCATGGGGGATAGATGGGTGTCCGGGAGCTCTTGCAGCCCTTCTCCAGGGAGGCCAGACATGCCCTGCCCCTTCCCTGTGCAGCCCTGGATGGACCCCGTAGTCATCCTCCCCAGAAAACGTGGGACAGCTTGGACTGTGAGGAGCAGGGGGCTTGGGGGAGCGTGTGGGAGTGCAGGTGTGTGTGTGCACTCTAGGTGTGCAGGGGTGTCGGTGTGCAGTTTGGGTGGCGGTGTGGGTCCCTGAATGTCTGCGTACATCTGGTCTCACTGGTTTGCGAAGGTGCGCGTGCGTGTGTGCCCGCACACGTCCTTGCGTAAGTCTTCGTGTTTGCGTGCATCCTTGCACCCAGCTCTCTCCAGAGGGTAAGGAATGCCCTGGGCTCTGCTTCCCCCGCGCCCTCCAGCCACCCAGCTTGAAATCAGGTTCATGGAGCGCGAGGAGGTGTCTGCCCCGCACACAGCAAGTGGAGACCGTGGGCAGAGCTTCTCCAGCTGCCCTGTAGCTTCAGCTCTGGCCTCACTCGGTGCCACAGCAGCGTCCAGAGAGGGCAGGGACTTTGCCGGGCGCCCGAGCCTGGGACTAGCTCTGCTCTTGTGCGCTCCTGAGCAGTTAGGTCTCCTCCCGCCCATGAGGGTCAGCACTGCAACAGCCGCGCAGGGAGCAGGTTTTCTGTCCGTCACACGCATCGTTCCACTGTTTCTCCTGGGCGACTGCCTTGGAGAACAGTCCAGACTACTCCCCAGAGCCCGAGGGTCAGCGTGCCCTGGAGTCGTCTGCACTCTGCTTCAGCTCCTGCTCAGCGGAGGGCAGAAACCCGTTTCTCTGGCTGAGACCCAGCACGGTCCGCTCCACCTCTTCTCCCCGACCCTGTGCTGCTTAAGCAGCGGCCAGAGGTCATGGGGGCGCAGGGAGCGGGACTACAGGCACCTGGGACCAAGGTCAAGGCTGCGGGCCCAGCTACGGGACTGACATCCGGCAGTGGGCCTGCAGGCACACGCGGCCCTCCTGTGCAGGCTCCCCCGCGCGCCGTGGAGTGGCCGGGTCCCGAGACCGCGCTTCCCCGGGCTACAGTCGTGGATTTGCCGTTTTCTCCACTGCCGCCCAAAGAGCAAGCTCTGCGGTGGCCAAGTCGCGGGTCAGAGCGCCCTCTGCCTGCCAGGTCAAGCACTGCGTCGCCGCGCCCCGAGCCAGGCCTCCAAGGCCCCTTCCTCTCGTCAGAGCGACGCCAGGCCCCTCCTGACTCTCAGAGATGGCTCGCAGTCTGGGTTCCCTGTCGGGGAGCAAGGGAGCCTTGATTGGAAGCCTGGCTTCCAGACACGAGCTCTGCCTTTGTGTGACGGAGAAGTCACATTCCCCCTTAGTTTCCTTACCTGTAGAATGGAGAGGCCGAACGTTTTTTAGCCATTTTCAGTATTTTCAATTTTTTACTTGCTTTTTGTCAGTACATGTCTGCAGCACACAGTGCTCAGACTTATGGTGGGGAGCTGGCACTGCACAGAACATTTTCACCCTCTTTGCCCCAACTGCCCCCCTCTCCCTTCTGCTCCTTCCCTTCTTGGTCCCCTTCTATCTGCAAAAGCTCTATTTCCATTTTTCTTTGGTTCCTTTTTTTTTTTTTTTTT